GCGTCCGCGTTGGCGGCGCACTTCGCTTCTGTATTTGCGAATAACCAAGTATCTGTTCCGAGTTCGACGTGTACCGCTTTTACCGAACTCGATAGTCTGCATTGCGGCGTTGAAGAGGTAGTTCAACTACTCGCCAACCTTGACGGCACCAAATCTACCGGATCTGATGGGCTTCACCCACTGGTTCTCAAGTCACTTTCAACCATCCTCTCTCCTGTCGTGACTGCCCTTTTCAACAGGTCGCTGTCCGAAGGTTTGTTGCCGGTTGACTGGAAATGTTCGGTGGTGAAGCCTATTCCGAAAGGCGGCGACCCTAGCAAAGTAGACGATTACAGGCCAATTTGTCTGACACCTATTTCGGCAAAGTTTGCTGAGAAAATCGTGAGGGGATTGGTGCATTTGCTACAGTCAAACGAGGTCCTGACGCCCGCACAGCACGGTTTTATGCAAGGTCGCTCATGCATTACGAATCTGCTTGTGACGAGGCATGAGTGGTTGAAGGCAATAGGCAAGGGGAAGTTCATCGAGGTGATATTCATCGATTTCAGTAAAGCGTTCGACAAGGTTAGTCGTGAAGTTCTCCTTCACAAACTCAAAATGTGTGGTGTCGGTGGCTCATTGCACCAGTGGATCCGCGACTTTCTTGTTGGACGAAAGTGGAGAGTACAGGTCGACGATCATCTAACTGACTGGTACCCCTCTACAAGTGGCGTACCTCAAGGCACTGTGTTGGGGCCCACTCTGTTCCTGATCCACATAAACGATCTACTGCAGCTTCTCCGTTCGCCGTGTGCCTTGTTTGCAGACGACATGAAGAATTGGAGAGAAATCGACGCTCCCGATGACCATGGCCTTCTTCAGCAAGACCCCAACCGCTAATCCACATGGTCTGCAGAAGTTCTTCTCCCGGTCAACCCAGTCAAGTCTGTATTTATGAGCCTGGGGAAGGGTACTAACGGTCGAACCTACACCCTTGACTGCCAAACGCTATATCCTACACCCTTCGTGAAAGACTTAGGTGTACTCTCGCTCTACGATTTGAAGTCCGTGGATAACACGAACAGGCTATATTGTAACGGACTGCGCATGCTTTGGGCGCTCAAACGTAGCTTCGGCACATGGTCTGAAGAGGTTGCCACTCGCCTATTCTCTTTTATCATTTGACCAATGCTAGAGTACAGTTCGCCCGCCTACTTTTCGCTTATCCGAGGCGAGGCACAAAAGATCGAACGGGTCCAACACGTTGCTACCAGGCTGATCCCGAGTTTACGTGGCTTTGGGTATGAAGACCGGTGCGAGAAACTAGGACTCTACACCTTGTCGATCTCATTATGACCTACCGTATTCTACATCTCGATGACTTCCCAATGCTAAGGCCAATGCTGCACTTACGAGGGCCATGCAGCACACGCGGACACAGATACAAACTTGTCGTGCAGGAATGTAAAATGTGTTCCCCACCCACTGTGCTTCGAACGGAGAGTGGTAAACATTTGGAACAGTTTACCTGAACATGTGATTGTGGCAACGTCTATGTAACAGTACAAAACGTTGTTAGATTTGTATTTTTGCCACTATTCGATTCGGAGAACGACTGCACACTTATGATGACAAATTACATTTGTGAATCCTGAAATATCGTAAGTGAGATATTTTAAATGTTACATGAGAACGACAACGATATTCACGGTTGACAACTTTTATAACGTTTTTCACCATATTTCGAGAGAGTTGTAAAGAATTCATTTCTACTTACTCTGTAATACAATATTCAGTATTCAACCAGAGCAGCTTCAGTCCGGGGACTCAGGGCAATACCAACACCAGCTTGGCCTGTGCTCGAAGCTTCAGCGTCACCGGATAGGCGCAATGAGAAAGTGCTGCTAGTATCACCTGAAGGGGATCGCAGAGTGAGCACAGAGCACGAGTCTTGCAGGCGAGTCTCTGATAAGCAGCAGATATCGATTGAGTGGGTCTCTAATGTTCGGGCAAGTGCTGCCTGTTGACCGATTTGTAGCAATGTGCGTACATTGAGGCATGTCAATCTGAAGGAGCATCGAGGGCTCCAAATACAAGCCGATGAACTGGAATGGACCGCTTGATTGGACATGGGCTTGTCGCAGGAGAGGAGTGACGCTCCGCGTTCACATATGAGTTGAAATTCGAAGATAAATGCCTAGCAAAGCATGTTGGGGGAGGCCGAAGAATGGGGGGGGGGTTGAAAACTGGGGGGATACAAATGAACTTGGAATGGGACGGTAAGAGAGAAAAAGCGTAAGAGGGGAATAAGAAGACGGGAAGGCTTGAGCAGTAACATCCAAACCCCTATCCACCCTGCTCGATGCATCAGATAGGGCACCGTTGATTATCTTCTGCGGTGGCCAGAGCATCAAGAAATTGTTTGAGGAAAGATTCATTGTATTGCTTGGGCAGGATACTGTCAGGTTGCCCAGACCTAGACGGGACCATAGCCAGCTACTCAATTATGACGTCTGTTACTCCCTGGTTCACTAGTCTACCACTAATTCGAAGGTGAGAGAATGCAGGTTCTCGGATTTTTCTTCGTACAAATAGAATTCGCACTGGTGACCAGTTGTAAACGAAAAAAACAACCGCCCACTGTTTTCCGAATGCATTGTGGCTGCCTGACTGTGTGGAGGCCATGTCGAATCTCTTTCAAAATTAATCCAGCCCTTCTTTGCCTATTTCGTAGATGAATTGTTATCACTTGATAAGACCTGAAGACCAAGGCACCGCTGAAATTGTGGATGGGATTGTTCTGGCCGTCTTCAGATTTGGGGATCTGCTTATAAAGGTGATTGCACGATTGGTCATTGAAACTGTGAGGACAGAAAACTTTCTCGAACAACTGGAACTGCTCCATTATTGTCCCAGATCTCAAGAGAACCGGTTCGGAATGCGGCAATCACATGGCGGCCAGTCTGATCTTCATCGCGTTGAAGTGTTTTCCACTGTCAGCATTTCCTGACTGCAAAACCATTTTCTTGAATAACACGCTGGGTTTCGTCGAAATCGAGGCTGCATTGACATCTTCACTTTGCGCTAGTTGTTGGAGCACTCGCCTTTATTAGCGACCCACCCTAGTCGGTATCAAAGATGTGCCCTTCGGGACTGTCTGCTCAGGAAACGTAAGCCCAATAAATATCTAAACATTATGATAGCACTTTGTGCGCACAGTTCTGGCAAAATGAGGGCTTGTGGCAACTGTAGCCGCCTCTTAATACCCCCAGTGGTATGAGATAATGTAACGCGCTGTCATTCATTTTTAACTTTGCCATTAACAAACTCATGGACACTTTGTTCATTGAACACGACATAGGTTTGGAGCTACTCCCATTTGATGAACTTTTTGACTTGGAGTATGCCGAAGACATTGTCATAATTTGCGACGGATTTCAAGCATCACTGCGTGTCAGTCGAATCGGGCTATCCTATGCACCCTCGAAATGCAAAGTCCTTTTCCAAGATTGGGACCAACCTCTGCACTGACCCTTGGCGGCGATCAGTTAGAAGTCGTCGAGAAATTTAACTATCTAGGCAGCTATACAGCATTAGTGGAATAGAGGATAACATCACTAACCGTTATAGCAAAAACTCGAGGGGCTTCTACCAATCTCCATCACCTGTGGCGCCGACCTGACACTGCTCTCTCCCTGAAGGGTACAGTGCACAATGCCGCCGTACGCTCGACCCTACTGAGCAGTTGGGAAACCTGGCACATCAGACCAGCAGACATTCGGAGGTTAGTTATGTCCGACTATCACTGTGCAGTTTAAATGATTTCTGACCCAAACACTGCCTGAACAAAGCGGGTTTGGCATCGCATATTTCGTGCAGGAAGAGCCACTAAACCGGTCAGCTCCATTATAATACGCACCAGACTGCGATGGTTGGACCACGTGTTGCGCATGCTAGAACGCCGACTTCCGCGTCGCGCTTTTGTTTAGCGCAGGGAGTTTTCGATGGATGAAGAGGAGTGATGACCAGACGAAGAGAAGTGAGGTCTTTCACTACGAAGTTGGTCTCGGTTGGAGTACATCCTGTATCAATTGCTGATCCGGTGCGCCTTCCCGGTTGTGGACCGAGAGATGAAGAATTCCGATGGCTTACCAAACTCGGAACAATGGCACAAAACTGGTTGCAGGGGAAACAATTCACGCAAGTCTGCCTAAATTCCCGATTCCGAAAGTACTAACTCCCTAAAAAGAAAAAATTTAAAAAATGGCGTCTGAAAAAAGACGAAAAGATGTTTTTATTCATTCTTCATTATTTTTTGCTATTGTACATCTTCTTGTTCCTATTTAAATCTCCATGGTTTTGAATGGCTCGATGTCTATCTTATATTCTGCTGCTAATATATATATATATATATATATATATATATATATATATATATATATATATAATCAGTTGAAGTCTCTTTCCTTCCAGGTTGAAACCCTAAGGACGATGAACACGTTTGGTTTGCTGCGTTTGTTGACACGGCGAAAAGCCGACCTCATTGGCGTTTGTGCTATTAGCCACTCCACTCCTTTCGCATAGCCTCCCCTAATCACGATTGCTATACCGATGCATTGCCACCATGGCATGGTTTTGTATTGCAGCACAATAATAGGTGTTTTTCACTTTCTAGCTACCCTTTATGATGATGACGTTATCTGCTATTGTTCGCTTCTTTATTTGTAGCTCGTCGTGGGTTGTGGTCTCTCGCCTAGCAGAGAGATAGTCTTCATCCAGCACCTGCATGGAGTTCATTATGAATCAAACACTATAGCTAGTTGACTTATCTACTTTCACCGTCGCTTCTACTTCCTTGGTTCTTATATTATTCCGTTTTTCCTCTGGTGACTGCTGGTCGGACATTCACACATCACATGCCCACGCCACCCCTTTCGTGCGCGTACATTTTGTTGATGATCGCGACACAGCCATTACTCTTGCCTAACTTTATTCCCTCATGTATGTTTGAACTATTACAGGCGCGTAATAGCGTGAACAACCTGTTTTTGGTTCTCACACTTGACCTCATGATACCACTGGCGGCCAGTGTACTGCAACTGATGCTTCAGCTCGTGGGACTGCCTGCGGTTTCCTTCATCCTTCGGGGTGCAAACGACACTGTTGCCGTCTTGTGGCTTCCTTTGGAGTACGCACGCGTTCGGCTCGTCCCGGTGCTCGATGCGGACTTGCAGCAACATTCTGGTGCCATTTTGGCGTCCATTCCCCAGGAACTTCGTTTCTGGTCCATCGCTTATATGCCCGGCTACGGAGTTGGACAGCTGATTTGGCTTGTGTTATTCATTACTCCTATTCTAAGCCTATCACTACTGGATCGTCAAGTCGAGCGGGCTCGCCCACTTCGCGAACCTCCACGGAAACGCGGAACGGCATTGGACCGGAAGGTGAGCAATTGTGTACTCTTGTTTCACTCATCTTTACGTTTGCCATTCTTTAATGTTTACTCGGCACCTGATAGGTTTGGCCACTTTGCTATCTCTTTCTCGCAAATAGTTGTTTTAGGCCTCGTAGTCTTATTGTTTATCAGGTTCCTAGCTTCTATATTTTTCGTGGTACACTGAAGCTCAGATGCGCTGATCCTTGCGCATGCACTGTCAGCCTTAAGCACACCAAAAAGCAAAAAAGGCATCTGTAGTACGCCGGTACGCAGTACGGACGCTTCGCTGCTGCGCAAACACCGGTCGCACGTGGGCCAATAATACTACGAGGGTAGCCCGGTTTCTACGCAGGCTCGATCCCGCACCCCAGCTTACAAGGCAAGCTTGTGATCCTTAGGGTTACAGGCTGGTGTTATGCACAATTTACCTAGTGCACTCATCGGTTGGTATTCAAACGACATTTTCCATGAGTTTGACTGTTGAGCCAAAACTTAGGGCAGTGATCATCCTCAAAATCGACTGATTACAACCCGGGTGCTGTCAAAAATAAATCTATCATCAGCTTTTCGCATTTATTTTAAATGATCGAAAGCTTGCTCAAGTGATCCAACACGATTCATCTGACCATCTTAGTCCATGCTCACTCTTCTTGAGTCTCAATTGTGATTGGACCTAGCACACATGCCAGTACTAATCGTGACGTAATATTTCGGCCTAACTCTCACGGTCATTAGCGCACAGACTTGCGAATGATAGCGCACAGAATGTCAGTACAACAATTGCTCTATCACGAGTAGAAAAGGAAATGTTTAAACACGCTAGTGTTTTGAAAACAATAACGCCTCTCAGTGGAATTATTATTTTTGCATATGAACACATTTTGGTATGCTGTATCATACCGCTGACGAGGCTAGAGTCCATCGCCACGAGATTAGATCTTAACGTTTGCGCGCCTCAACGATCCATTGCGCTGTGTTGGATGGTGTTTTTTGCACCCTTAGAGCCAGACGAACTCAGTACCCAGGCGCTCCAGGTTGGGTGTTAATATGAGGGTGGTGCGTTATTCCTTACAACGGACTTTCTGTAGTCCACTGCTAAAAGCATGCTATTTCGTGGTCCGGTTTTTGAATCAAACGCTTTGTTTGAGAACCCTAACAGTTCTCTTGTCTAAGTTTGAGCAGTTTGACAGTATCCTGCCCACGCATTAAAACTGCTGCACAACAGCTGAGGTATTTCTCACCTCAGCTTACGTATAGACTCGTGATGATTCGTCCTCGTAACTTAGGTTAAATCATGCAATGTAGACGGAGTATTGTAACCCTGTGTCTAATCTTGATTTCGGTTAATGTGTGAACGGAAATGGCGTACATCAAGCGATCGTTCCACAGCTGGGACGCACGAAGAATGAAAGCGTTCCGGCAAATTTCCGACCAGCTTTACTGTGCACATAGCTCTAACTAGTAACCTCGCAATGAGGTATGGTGCCTGAATTTCAATAAATATCGCCATGAGTGCTTTGGATCCTTGGGATCTGATCCACCACGCCATCGACGATATTGTCCACGGAAAACTACTATGGTCTTAAGTTTAAGTTGGCAAGAGAGATGGAACTAGTTCTTCGTTGTCGAGTCTCAAGAGCAACGAGATCTTGTTTTCATCCTCTGTGCCAGACCTCCATCACATATCCACATCGGACTGAATGTTAGCATCCAACACTTGCGGAAGGATTGCAGGGTCGAATCTGTCAAACGCTATTTGCAAAAGGCTTAAGCCTATGTTGACTACCAGGGATCGTCCAGGAAGCGCAATCCGACATTACCTTCATGGAAAGTGTTGCAGGCCCATCAGATATTCCCGCAGAAACATGCCACAAACTCCGGCGTAATGGTTGCGGGAAACGGAGTTCGATTCCTCCCCCAACGTAGCAGACTTCAGCCACTCCGAGACGCGGCACAATTGCGCACATGTTACCAATGTTCTTTTACAAACTAGCACCCTGTCGCGGTAGCTATTTTCACTAACTTACTGACCCATAGTATTGGCTGTGATTCGCCCTTTGTTGGTCGTAAAAGAGCCTTCAGAGGACCACTTGTCTTGCTTTCTCTTCGCCGTTAGTTGGGAGTCGGTTCGGTCACGTGATTTTTGTGTGCGTCGCTAGCCGTCACCCACTCTCGTGTGCGTAACCTCTTCCGTTACGAGGGCTCAGCGTCTACCCGAATACGCGTGGGTAGGAACGTTCTCACTTTAGCGGGATTTTCCGCCTCACCAGCGCGTATTCCGGGCTAAGTTAACTCTATCAGGTTAGCGCAAATCTGTTCGATCGGCCAGCGTTCAAGCCGTGCCGGTGGCAATCGTATCAGGCTCAAATTCTTATCAGAGGCGTCTCTCAATCTTAACAGTGGCGACGGAGATGGGATTCGGACCCACGCTGGGAAACCCCAATGGATTAGCACTTGGACCTGCATGAAGGGAAGAAGTGGAGAATTTTTCGGTTAGCACGGACATCAATTTAACTTGTTGCTGCAGCATAAGTTTCAACTCGGCGTACTCCTCAGTCATGGTTCGTAAACTCTGTCAGTGGACCATGTGATTAGCGGCATCTGCGAATTTCTTTACGACGCCAGAGCCAGGGTAACTTTCGAATCTTGGTATAAGCGGTACGAGGACCTGTTCACCGTTGACTTGGCTTGCCAGGATGACGCGTGAAAGGTCCGGCTGCTTCTGCGCAAATTTGGTACGCTTGAACATCAACGCTACACCAACTTCATCTTGCCGAGGAACCCACGCAACGTTACGTTTGACGAGACGGTCCGAACGTTGTCCCAGATTTTTGATGAGCAGTTCTCTCTGTTCATTACTCCTTATCAATGTTTGCAGCTGGCCAAGCGTGGTGCCGACGACTTCATCACGTACGCGGGCGTGGTTAACCGTGAATGCCAACGTTTTCAACTTGGCTCACTCACCGAAGACCAATTTAAATGCCTGATTTTTGTCTCTGGCCTCCAGTCTCTACAAGATGTCAATATCCGTACGCGCCTCCTGTCCAAGCTATAACAGGGTAGTTCAGTCACACTGTAGAACCTGGTCGAGGAGTGTCAAACGCTGCTCAACCAGAAGCAGGATTCTGCCATGATCCAGAACGCCGCCGCACCTGTTATGGTCCAGGCTGCAATTTCCGCCTGCATCGTTGTTAACATTGTGGCAGGGTGGGGCACCGAGATGGTTACTGCCATCCTATATCTCCCAAGGGGGCTAAAACTGGGCTGGCTCCCACCCGCGATCCAAAGAAGAGATCCCGACCCAGACACACACCCCAACCTGGTCCGGTTAGTAGCTCCCTGATCCTGCTGGTCACGTTCCAAATCAACACTGCGGATCGGAGAAAATTCCTCGATGGCTTGATCCACTGTCAGTCCGTCCGATTGCAGTTGGACACTGCGTCGGACATCACGGTCATCTCGGAGGATCTCTGGCGATCCCTTGGCGCCTGGTGGTCGTGTGCAGCTAACTGGGCAGTTGGACTGCTCCGTCTCCTTTCGAGGCGCCACCTTCAACGCGTTCTGCCACGTCACGAAGGCGATGCTCAACCTACTTGGTCTTGACTGGCTCGAAGCCCTGGGTTTGGCCGATCTTTCTATTCGGGCCATCTGCAACGCGGTACATTCTCCCGCAGTACCAAACGACTGAACCGACGGCATCATCAGATAGTTCGCCCCGGTATTCCAGGATGGTGTTGGCCGCTGTACCCGCATCCGCGCCCCGTTACATCTCGTACCTGGTGCTGAACCGGTATTCCGTCACAACAGGCCTGTCTCATGCACAGCCCCCCCTTGGTCGATGCCGAACTCCAACGTTTGGAAGACATGAGCGTACTGGTGCCTGTGTCCTATTCCGTCTGGGCAGCGCCGATCGTCGTGGTCAAGAAGCCCAACGGACCCCTCCGCATCTGTGCCGATTTCTCCGCCGGTCTCAACGCAGCGCTAGTCAAATTGCTACCTGCTACCGATCCCAGCCGACCTCTTCACAATACACAACGATGACACGTGTTTCGCTAAAATCTACCCGGCAGATGCCTACCGCAAATCGAGGTCGCCCTTGAGTCACAAGCCCTCCTGACAATCAATACGCATCGTGCTCTTCTCCGGTACACCAGACTCCCGTTTGATGTGAAAACCGCTTCAGTCATTTTCCAGCTGATGATTGATGCTATGATCTCTGGCATTCCCGGTACGGCCGCGTACCTGGACGATCTACTCATTGTTGGTCGCACCTCAGAAGAGCTTCACGAGCGCCTGGTTGCCGTCCTTCAACGGGTCCAGGAGCACGGTTTCCGCCTGTAACCTGAGAAATGCCAGTCTTTCCTTCTGTCGATTAAATACATTGGTTTCGTTTTTGATGCCAGTGGTCGTCATCGTGATCCTGAGAACGTCCAGCAAATGTCAGCTCCAGCGGATGTATTTCAGCTGCGGTCCTTCTTGGGTCTCATCAGCTACTAGATCGCCTTTTTGCTATCGCTACACGATGTTCGAACCCCGCTCAATCGGTTGTTGTAGAAAGGCGTTCATTGGCACTGGTCACCGCATGCGAGAGTGCTTTCGTTTGCCTGAAAGCGATGCTGAGTTCTGACCTGTTGCTGACCCACTACGACCCAGCCTTGCCAAATTAGCTCGCTGCTGACACCTCTGCCTACGGGATCGGAGCAGTTCCCTCCCATCGTTTCCCAAATAGTTCCGAGAAAGCTGTTATGCACGTCTCCTGCATCCTGACACCTGGAGAGAAGAATTATGGTCGGATTGAGAAGGAAGCCCTTGTCATCGTCTTTGCCGTCACCAAATTCCGCAACATGCTGTGTGGCGGGCGGTTCACGCTTTTGACCGATCACAAGCCCCTATTTTCAATCTTCGGATCGAAGGATGGCATTCCCGCATACTCGGCTAACCGACTTCAGCGTTGGGCGATCATCCTTCTTGGTTACGACTTCGAAATCCGCTACTGCCGTACTCAGGATTTTGGTCAAGCCGACTTTCTCTCCCACCTCATTTCCAAACATGCTGCAGTGGAAGACACAGTGATTGCCGCTGTAACCATCGAGGACGACGTTCGTTATCAACTCTCGAACGATATCTGAAGTCTCTCCATTACTACCGCCGACACGTCGTGCAACTGCTCAAGACTCTGTATTGCAGAAAGCCGTCACTTACGTTCAGACGTGCTGGCCAAACTGCCTTGGCTGGTGAACTCAAACAACTACATCAAAGCAGCGACTCCCTTTCCTTTGTCGATTCCTGCCTCATGAATGCAGATCGAGTTGTCCTTCCTTCATGCCTCCAGCTGGCTGTGCTCCGCCAGCTTCATTCTGCTCACCCCGATATGAACAGAATGAAGGCAATTGCCCGCAGTTATGTGTACTGGCCTGGCATTGACAACGACATTCAAGATTTGGTTCGCCGCTGCTCAAAATGTCAACAAGCCTCAAAGATGACACCACACCAATCACTGGTTCCTTGGCATCCGCCAGCAAAACCGTGGTCCCGCGGGCACATTGACTACGCTGGTCCCATCGATGGCATTTCCTATCTGGTCGTAATCGACGCCTATTCCAAATGACCAGAAGTGGTCACCGTCAACCCAGCAACCGCATCCGTCCCTCTGGGTTGTCTACAACGCATCTTCAGTCAAGGTGGCCTTCCCGAGGTTTTGGTGTCCGACATCTTCAATCTTCGAAGAGTTTTGTCGCTGACACTGCATCCAATACCTCCGCTCATCGCCTTACCATCCCCAGTCCAATGGTCAAGCGGAGAGATTTATCGATACCTTCAAGAGGGCACTCTTGAAATCTCGCGGGGAGGGGACTGTGGATGAGTGTCTTCGAGCCTTCCTACTCTCGTACTGGTCCACACCGAATCCAGCTACGCCAGGATGCCAGTCACCAGCTGCAGCATTGATGGGCCGCAAGCTACACACCACCAACGAAGCGCACATTCCGACTGATAAGTTACTTAGTCACTCTAGTGCCTGCACCAAGCACAAAGAACTCGTCGTTGGAGCCCCGGTCGAGAAGGGCATCCACGCTGGATCAAAGCAACAATGACGGCCAGGCTAGGTGACATGTTGTATGATGTCTCCGTGGATGATGACGCATGGGTTCTCCATCGCAATCAACTTCGACCGCACCACGGAGGACACCAGCCAGCCTTTTTGTGCGTCTGCCGCTGTACATTCTGTTGGATATCTTTGGATTGACTACACAACGAAAGATCACGGTCGAAGCCGCTCAGTCGCAGCCGCGTCTGGAGAATCCGCCTTGCTGAGAAACAGGAAGAATCCGGAGGTAGCCAAAATCCCTCCAGGTCAATCATCGTCAGAAGCGGTACGCCTTCTCTTCAAAGGGAGATGTTGCGGGCCCGTCAAATATCCCCTCAAAAAAGCGCCACAAATTCCGGCGTAATGGCTTGCGGGAAACGGAGTTCGATTCCTCCCCCAACGTAGCAGATTACAGCCACTCCGAGACGCGGCACAACTGCGCACATGTTACCAATGTTCTTTTACGAACTAGAACCCTGTCGCGGTAGCTATTTTCACTGACTTACTGACCCATAGGATTGGCTGTGATTCGCCCTTTGTTGGTCGTAAAAGAGCCTTCAGAGGACCACTTGTCTCACTTTCTCTTCACCGTTAGTTGGGAGTCGGTTCGGCCACGTGATTTTTGTGTGCGTCGCTAGCCGTCACCCACTCTCGTGTGCGTAACCTCTTCCGTTACGAGGGCTCAGCGTCTACCCGAATACGCGTGGGTAGGAACGTTCTCACTTTAGCGGGATTTTCCGCCTCACCAGCGCGTATTCCGGGCTAAGTTAACTCTATCAGGTTACCGCAAATCTGTTCGATCTGCCGGCGTTCCGAGCCGTTATCGTAGGCGTGCTCAAACCGTGCTGGTGGCAATCGTATCAGGCTCAACTTTTTATCAGAGGCGTCTCTCAATCGTAACAGAAAATGTCCAGTACCTTTGGCAGCGGTAAACTGAAATATGTTTTGAACTGACTAATCGTAATTCCTGTCGACGTCGTCTTCTACTGTAGTCTACTGTTTTGATGATTCATCAAATCTTGTCAAGCATTGCTCGGCGCCTGATACACTACTCATCCTGACATATAACGTTTTTCTTTTGAAGTTCACACACTGCCTGCTCGTCCGAGATGCGTTTTGTCTGACTTGTTTCAGCGGTGTCCGCGCACAATTTGACATGGAAAAAGGCAAGGTTCAAGCATTTTGTACTGTTTCGCTCGTGTGATGAACTGTGGGCTTAGCCAGATGCTGATTGAATGCGCACCCTCGCCCCTCAGACTGCCTGCTTCTTGGTACTGTTGGTCCTCTCACACATAGGCGCAGTGAGAATTTTTCAGCCACTACGTCTAATCCTGATGACTTCGACACTTTTGTCGGTGTGGACGCTTGTAACTGGTTAGATTAAACTAATGCCTGCCTACACACATATCCGCCTCCGATTGAATGAACATCGTTAGCCTCGGCAGGAAACGCGTATCACTTAAGGTCATTTGTTAGTCCAAGGTTAAGAATCGTGAACAGCCGGTCCGACCATAATGCAGTAGTAGCCGGGTGGATTGCAAGCTGCTGTATGAGGAGGGGGAAACAAGTTACTATATAAAGTGCGATCAGACAAACGTGTACTGGCGGTTCCTTTTAATCACTTGGAAGTGAAACAAATCAGCGCTACACGTATCCATATCACTTTTGACACATGCCTATCCTCCCACATCCGTGCGCAAGTTAAATACCTTCAGTGCTTTGTAGTTTAAACCCATTCATTAGTTAACGTACATCGACGTGCAAACCTTTTAACCCTCTTGACATCGTGCAAGACTTTTTGCAGCGTTAAATACGTCCTGTTTTATCTTTACCAATATTTTTGTTTCTACTAAGCGCTCGGTCAACATCCATCGTAAGTTAACTCGAAACTTACCCTCCACCAATTATACCTATATATACCCTGTTTACCTTTAAGCGATGCCACATCCATCTTGAGTTGTCTTTTACTATAAACCGTATTATTCATCGAAATCTTCCGTTTCACGAACAGAAAGTGTTCTCGAGTGTGCTGGTTACCGTCGCTCGCTTCGTACCATCTCTGATCGTCTGCCTTGTGTGCACTTTGGGGCATTTTTTACTCGCTCCCGGTTTTGATGAATGTGCTGCTCGGCCTGCAAATCAGTCGTTGCCTTCGAACGTGTCAACAGCTGTCTCCCATTCAATTGAACTGTGAGTTGCGTTGTGGTGAATCATCTCTGTATACATTGTCCCTATCATGATACGCACTTCAGCAGACCAGTCTGACCTCTCTCTGCTTTGCTCTTTCTCATTCCAGCCTTCCTGCATGTCTTGTCAGGTTGTCCGTGCTCCTTGACACTACACAAGATGTCGTTTTCACACAATTTATTATTTATATTGGTGAGCTTACCTTCCGTTCCATTTCTACCCTGCCACTTCACAATGGGTGGTTCCTTTGTTTCTTTCCTTTATTTATCCCGCGCATAAAGGCAGTTAGTCGTATTGGTCTTCACCGCAGTGTCCCAACACAACGGTGTCCGTTCTCAGCGACTTGTCTATCCATCGTTTTGACCTTTACTGCAGCGTGTGTTCTGTCCGGTGACCGATTGACAAAAGACTGCACAGACCATAAAACCTACCTTAAGTAGAACCAAACATGTTTACAAACGCTTCCGGTCTGATTAACACAAACGATTCCGGTCTTTGGTGCACCATTTGCATCTCCAAAGTGCAACCTGCCTTTACAACACTGGGTTGACACGCCACAAGTTCAAACTATCGCCCAACAGAGATATTGGCAATAGCTGTTCAATTCAATTGGCTTGGTAGTTGTATTTTTGTGGTAACTATGCGTGTCAACGAAGATCATGCGGCTTTTTGTTAACTAAATATTTTATAGGTACGGCATGATACTTGTCCATCAGGCATATTTCATAACCCTATATTGATATATGAATTAAACGTCCGATTAACCGTCTTCGGTCAATGGTGCTTACGGAATGTTGCTCACCTCTGGCAGGAGCAGCGGGTGAGTAGTTTTGAAGCCCACCATTTAATGTCTGGTAAGAAGCTCTCTGGTGCAGCATTGGCGTTTCTGCAGTCGGCCTGTCATTTCGCGTTATATATATAAGGCCAGACCATATACTTAGGATTTACGGAGTCCAACTCTATCGATCACATCTGGACGATAAGTGTACTGCTAGCGCTCGAAAACCTCCGGTACTTATTCGACCACACTTGCTCATAAATCCACTGGATTCGATAAGGCTTCCAACTTTGGTGTGTTTCTTACCCCTTGACGATCTTTATTTCTCTTTCAGTTTTGATTTCATTCACATACGCCAACTACGGACAAGCTTTGTGGAAGTTCCGATGGACTAGCAATCCCACATGGTGCGTTGTCGCCCTGTTCATGTGAGTTGGTCGTACTTCTAGCTTTTTTCTTAGGTCGCAAGTTAACTGCCTGCCTGTTGATCTCTCTGCTTCTGGCGTGCAATCCTGGCGATTCACTGTGATTAATCGAGATGTGGCGTCTGTCTTTTCCTAATTTGTCTGACGCTGAGCTTTCTGTGTGTCATGCCTGAACATGATATGGGGGGGGGGCTTTGAAAGCTGCAACGGTGTTGCTTCAGCGATGCAGCCTTGTACCCGATCCATAGTCAGCCTTTGTAACCGTATGCTGATGGCAAATCTGTGCGCGCTTTGATCATTACTGTCTACCTGGGGCACTTTGCTTTTTTGCCGGTCCTTCTCCCCTCATTAGTAACTGTATGGTATTGAAGCCTCGGTCCAGATTGTTGATGTGTAGCTTTCGCTATTGAAGACAGTGCTAACATCTCTTCAGGTAATTAGCTGTCTGCGTTTTTTCTGCTTTTTAAGCGTCTCCATCACAAGTCCTTTTGTTAGTTCAAAGTTATCCGGTGGCATGTTTCCATTCGCGGACTGTTTACTTCGGCCCTCAAGCTTTTTTATCGTTGCTTTCGTATGCCTCATTTCAGTTCATTCTGGTATCCACATGGTCATTGTTCCCATCTTTTTACCAGCATAATACTCCAGTTGGTGTACCTTTCTGTTCGCTGCTTTCGCTGGGATCCCCTGGGACAAACACGTGCTTACGACACGCTCTCCATTGAATTTGTCGTTCTGGCTATGGTTTGGTGTCCCTTGGTGCTTGCGCTCAATGAACTGGTGGCCTCCAAGGAGAGGAAGTGAGTGGTATTCGTCGCCTATCTCCTTACTCGGTTGGTGGTGCTTTATGTTCTTAATCAAGATTGTGTATCCATGCTTTCACTCCTCAGGTGAGGCGCTCAAACCAGCGTTCCTATCGTTCTCCCACTTTGTATGCTAACCCCTCCGAGGCTCTTGGTTACTTTGGATTAACAATATGTCCCCTGGAACTGTACAAGAATTTCGGAACCTACGAAACGGTTTTACCCACAGCTTGCCTCAGCCTACTCTATTATCCTATTCGTTCACTCTAGGTGCCATGTTACATTTGATGAGCCAAATGCCACTCGAACGTGCGGCTGCTTTTCCCCACCGAAGTAGTTCCATCAGCCGTGAACACGCCGGCTGGGGATTGGCAATATGTGGTGTAGTTGTTCAGGTGTTTGTCCTACGACCTCTGCATCTCGAGTTCGAGGTTTGGACTTCGCTGCCCCAATCAGCGTGCAACCGCTGTTTGCGTTACATTGGCAGCGAAGCACGAATGCAGACGACTGATGTGCTGTTGACACTTGTACCGGCTTGCGGTGGCGAAAGACCGAGCATACGACTGGCTACTTCACATCCACGTGACGTGACTGAATCATGTGCTTTGGACGGACATTTGTGGAATGTATTATAGGTTGTTACGTCGCTCGAATGAGCCACTGCGTTAGCAAGCATCTACAGAATTCGTGAATATTCATTGTGCCAGACGGTCTCTGGGGCATCCGCCTACTGGCTTGGCGCAACAGCACTATCAAGGGTTTACTGTTTGGAACCAGCGCATAGAGAAGTTCCTTGTAAAGGAAATGAGAACATTTATCTGATGAACATTTTGACACTTATGTTAACGCAGTAGTATCGTGCTCAACGTTCTCCCTGCCGTATGCAGTGCTGATCTGCATGGGATCCTCGAGACTGTCCAAACCGGTGGCTGACCTCTGTGATTTTCATAAACTTCAAAGTTGTTACCTAATGTCTACGGACAGTTACGGTAGCCAAACCGCATTCGTGTTGTGGTTTGCGATGGTAGCACGGATAACAGATAGCGCTATTCGGGTCGCGGTCCGGCCACTTCTGAAATCAAAAGACAAGGGCTTTTGGGGGAATCGCTATCGAGCGTCCGGCCAATAGTATTAGTCGCTCCGATGGAGTCAACATAAGTAGTTCAAAAGAGAATGACCTAACCGAAATTTTTCGGATTCCAACTACTGTGTGGCATCCTCACGGCCAATGTACTGAGCCCTTCCTATTCGTTGATTGCATCGGCTGCCGTGTGGCAGAAACCCGCTCATTGGTTTGCCTACTTTAGAATAGTGGATCAATGCGTTGTACAACATGCCGGTTAGAATACATTTTCGCCTTCCATATGCCTGACGTGTCTTGCTTTCTGATACTTCGGCTAAGAGCCAGCCACTGAGCGTTAGTTCCACAATTGCTAAACTGTGACATTTGGCGACGTAGGTTACATATGGAAATAACTACGATGAGCCATCTTACCCCGCTTGGTCCCTTTTGGAAGGACACGTCGTCCAACACATGCTTAGCAGTTTGGAATCGTTGGAAACGAACATTCTGTGACTTCCTTATGCTTTCCACTATTACACACCCCCAAATCAAACTGTAAAACTCAGTCTATTAAACTATTGAGACCACACCTCAGTGCAGAAGGTCAACGGCATTTTGATGCGTTGCGTTTGTACGAAAGCACATCCCTGACGAACTGCTCTAACGTTCTGCATGGCCTTTAGGGACCGCGGCAACATTTTTTTGCTGCGCGCAAAAGTTTTTCTCAATTACGACAGGGAGACGAAGCGAGTGTTAAAGAATTCATTAGTCGTATACAATAGTCCTTTCCTGGCTGTCGTTACATTGAAATCCCCGCAACGAAATTCGAAGAGATGATGGCGGTGTAGTCGATTTTGGTTTGCATTCTAGACGTTAAAGCTAGAGAACGTCTGTTAGAAGACGAGAATAAACTCACTTGGGAAACAGCCTGCACACTGGTCTGACAAAGGGAAAGCATTGTGCAACAATTAATTCATTATCGAAGCGATTCCACTTCAGATGCTATTCATACGGTTAAAGCTCGACTATCACCCATCAACAAATGTGTCTTTACGTGCTACAGATGCAGCGAGAAGCATGAAAACCTTACTGATTGCAGTCACAGTCTACTTGTCACAAGTGCGGAAAGGTCAGACATATTGCACGTGTATGCTCTTCGACTGCGATTCAACGACCGATACCTCGCCCTGCCCAGGATACTGTTCGAACTGTGGAAAACGCTGAAGATCCCATATTCTATTTAATTTCGCACACAATCACATCGCACGCAATGGGAATACCTCCGTCCACTGTTGATCTAGACGTTGAAGGCCAGCCAGTACGTCTGGAGATCCATACCGGGACCTCGGTTAGCTTGAGCAACAACCGAACTTTGCCTGACCTGATTCTGACTCCGACCCAATCTAAATTACGATGATACACCGGGGAGATGCTCGATGTTTTGGGCGTGCGACGTGAAAGTAAAACATGGGGACAATACCTTGATTCTTTCTCTGATCGTTGCTAACACAGGCGGATCTAACCTATTAGGAGAAACTGCTTAAAATACTTGCCGGAAATATTACAATCTGTCAAGAAGGTGAACAATATTTCTGACTCTTGAAGGCCTTTCCAGTGTTTTCGATATAAAAATGCCTAAGAAATTGTGATTTCAAAGCTCTCTTGATTATAAAGCCACAGACTCAACCGAAATTTTACAAGGCACGTAGTCTATATATATATATATATATATATATATATATATATATATATATATATATATATATATATATATATATATATATATATATATATAGTTGGCGGCATCCGGTTTCGGATTTGCCTGTCACTGTGGTCAGCCATAGGACGCCTGCGCCTACAGAGGGACCATGGATGGCTTGCGCTGCATCACCCACAGCTCCATCCACACACCCCATATCCAGGGTAAACCCGAAGGAATAAGACCGGGAGGCATGCGGATGGGAGCCATGTTTCATCAAGGGAGCCGGCCCACACTCCTTCACAGACAAACACAAACACGCTGTATTTGGGGAGTCAAGTGCACACAAGGCGGTGGCTGGACCGTAGTCCGCTCCACACTGAATGCATGGAACCAATCTTCGAGCCTAGCACGATCACAAGGACCGTGCACCCTGTCCCCTCCAGCAACGACCAACTGTCTCCTGGAGCCAGTATGGACGAGGTAGTGGGTAATAGACAGGTAGGCACCTTGTCAACATGCACATCAAGCGCAGCCACACCTGAGATGTCAAACAACAGCCAATCATTCGAAATGCCGATATCCATTGAAGTAAACTCATACCACGACATAAATACTCGCTAAATGAGCATATAGAAGAAATTGGTTATAAGTGAATCCGTGATAAGTACAAATGTCCGAAAGTTATTTAAAAATACCACGCGATAAAATTAAGCAAGTTTACCACAATTTGCCTGAGCGACGTGTGCAAGTAAGGAGAAGATTACCAAGTACGCAGAACAAACCAAATAACATGTAATGAATTTTATCCACATTAAAAAGACCTAGTTTAAGTGTAAGTTGGTTTTGCCCAACTGCGGTGTCGAAGCATCATGAATGCACATCAGCCTCAGCAAGGAACATATATATATATATATATATATATATATATATATATATATATATATATATATATATACATGCAGCGATTTACCCCAATAGCAAAACAATTGGCTGACTGCCACACTACATAAGATGAAAAAAAATTAGATTGCAAGGGAGACGAGCTGTTAGAGTCTCACAGCAAGTGCGCCATTGCCTACTGTCCTTCTCCATATCCTCCAGCTTTCGCAACCAGATGTGCTCGGGGTCCTTTTGTCCCCAACCTGGGAGTCGGTAAAGCTCATTAATAGCCAGTTTTAACGTTTGCGCCTTAACGCATTGGATCCAAGTTTTACATTGCCTCCTTTCCGTTGCTTCCAAGCCACGCCTGTGCTCGCAAATAGGGCTCTTCGAGGTATTCGCTGGGTAGGCATGCAAAGCATATGGCCAAGTCAGCGAGGCCTGCGCAATGAAATGATGCTAGCAATCGGTCGGTGGAGTTTGTTGGACTCGCCGACAGACTTTCTCATCACTGATGTGATGCTGCCATCGAACACCAGCAGTGTTTCGCAGGCAGCGGTGATCGAAGACAGATAGCCGCTTAGCATCGCTTTTGCGAACGCGCCAAGTTTTACAGTCGTACAGCAGAATTGCTCGTACCGTAGCATTGTAGACTCGTTACTTGAGAGCGCGGCTGTGGTCACGAGGAAGCCACAGGTGACGAAGGTTAGCGGAAGCGACTCTAGCCTTGGAAACATGCAGGGAGATCTCATCTATCAAATCGCTAATATTGAGACAACTTTCAAGATAAATGAATTTGTCGACCCCTTCCAGCGGATGTTCCAAAAGGGTAGGAGGACATGCACTTGGTCAGTACTGTAATAGGACCTTACATTTGGAAGGAGCAAAGGTCAACCCAAAATGGGAGGCTGATGTCCAGTCTGATCAGCACATACTGGGCGGCTTGGGAGGACTCGCAAATCACAGCGATGTCATCGGCGTACTCCAACTCCCTAAGGCGGTCACCAGGGAGCAGTTTAACATCGCAATGCAGTATCCAGGATTTCGTCCATGGCGAAGTTGAACAAAAATGAAGAGGCTGGACAACCCTGTCTAACACCGATAGTGATACTGAAAAGGGGCGAAATGTCTCCGTATGCTCGCACACGGCCCGAAGTTTGATGGTAAGTGGAATGGAGAATGCTGATGTACTTCTCAGGTACTTCCCTCTTCAGTAAGCACTCCCAAAGAACCACTCTGTCAACAGAGTCAAACGCGGCTCGAATGTCCAAGAATATGGCTATAGTTGCTCGACTGGACGTCTGGCGATGTTCAAGTATCTGGCGGATCATAAAGATGTGATCAACGCAACTG